ACCATAAATCATTATGGGTTCGGAAGGATTTTCAAAAAATTCAGTATGAAATACAGTGACGACAGTCTTTCACTAGGAACGACGTAAAAAGCTAGAGATTTTGGAATCATAGTGACAGCAGACTACAAATGGGCAGAACCGTGTGCCGCAGCGGCTCACCGTGCCCGTCGAGAGCTTTTTAGATTGAGGTCGGCACTATTATGTAGGAAACTGGAGGTATTCTTACGTCTATACAAGGCCATTTTTCGATCGCATTTGGAGTATTGTATATAAGCCTTGGCTTCCTTCTTCAGAAAGGACGACGCTTGTCTCGAGGGGGTTCAACGATTAGCCATAAGGATGATCGAGGGACAGCAAGGGAAGTCATAAAACCAGAGACTGCAGGACCTTGGGCTCCTCTCCTTGGAGAGAGGAAGACTCCGAGGTGATCCAAAGGGAAGTAACCCGGCATGTCACGGGGGGGGGCTGTGTCATTTTGATTCTTTAGAAAATGTTAGGTCCGTTAGTCCTGTCAGTGCTGTTTCATGTGTAGATTCAGATATTAAGGATACCGATATATTTAGATCGCGGGTTTCTGAATTAGAGCATGAGTTGAGATTAGCTAGGCAGCAGATAGAACAGGCCAAACGTGAAAGAACCGAATACAACGGCACAAAATCCCTTCTAGCTGAGACTGCTTATAGTTGCTTTTCTCCGAATAAAGAATCCGTCCCGAAGCAAAGAGCGTATGCTCATGTGAACGTCGATTTGCCAAGAGTCGAACTGACCTCTTTTGACGGCAATCCCGAATAATATTTCCAATTCATTCGCCGATACGAAAATTTCATTTAATTCAAAACCAACGATGCAGAACAAATGTTTCTGTTTTTGCAACACTACTGTCGGGGGAAGGCCAAAGAAGCCATACAACAGTGTGCAATGCTGGACCCGGACGTTGACTACCTGAGAGCTCGAAATATACTGAAGAACATGTTCAGCCAACCATTCCGAGTGGCACGAAACATGATTGACGTGGTGCTGGCCGAAGCAGGACGCACACAAGGCGATACTAGGTTTCTATCAAACCTGGTAATCACGATGCGGAATTGCAGCATCGCCCTCAACCACCTTGAATATCGGTTGGACTTGGATGTACTTCATACGTCGGAATCAGTCAGATGTTTGCCTGCCGAACTGCAGGCAGCTTGGGCGACCGAGGCCGATCGAATCGAGAAAAGGAACAGAGAGGTAACCTTTGACGAACTCACTGAATTCATAGGCTGCCAATCTCGCATAGAAAATGGTCGATTCGGTCAACTAGCGACGGAAAGCATCAGGACCGTTGAACCTTCAGCCAGCCTCGCGCCATCTGGATCTTGAAGTTTTCATCCCCACACAACTAGGCGGGCACCAACTTAGTATTATATGACCCACAAAGACCGATTAAGTGCAAACTGTGCTCAGGTGTCCACAAGCTTGTAATCTGCCCAGAGCTTTTGGCAATAAACTTGATGGAGCGCTGGACAAAAGCTGAGAAGACAGTGTCCTGCTTTGTGTGTTTGAGCGATACCCACAGAGAGGCCTTATGCAGAAACCGAACCAAATGTGGTCAAGACAACTGCAGTGTTCGACATCACCCCTTACTACACAACGATGGAAGAGTCGAGCCGCAAACAAACAATGTCCGGGTCGATAGAACCAACGAACACTCCGAGGACGATACACCGAAATCCGTCGAACGGGTGTCAAATGGGCCGGTTCGCTTGGGAATACTGCCAATCCAAGTGAAAACTCCGCGTGGTGTGATTCAAACCGTGGCGTTTCTAGACAGTGGATTTGATACTATCCTCGTGAGAGAGAGCTTTGCGCGAAAACACAACCTGTATGGACAATTTACTTCATTGGTAATTAGCACCAATTAACACCTCATTGATAATCAGCATGGTAAATGGGGCACGAGCAGTTCGAGCTTCTCAACTGAGTTTGAAGTTAGCTTCCACGGTGAAGGCAGATACGATAGAGATAAACCAGGCACATACTATCGCCGAAATACCAATGACAGCTTTCGAAAGTATCCGGTCTTTAGCGCGGCGCTGGCCTCACCTCCACGATCTGCCGTTTGAGAATGTTCCAGACACCCAATTGGACATATTGATCGGCTGTGATGTACCCGAGGCGCATTGGGTTCTGGACCAAAGGATAGGAGACCGTAGAGATTCGTTTGCTGTGCGCAAGATGTTTGGTTGGATACTCTGCGGGCCGCTCAGTGATGATGGTAATTACTCAGCCTCGATCAAGTTCATCTCGCGGCCAGATAATCCCATAGGAGACGCCCTGGAGTGGCTTTACAGCCACGAGTTCGGGGACATAGCAGACGACCGGGTATCTGTGTTGAGGGAAGACCGAGCAGCCCTGGATGTCGTCACCGAAACGACACGACACAACGGAACCCAGTTTGAAGTGCCGTCACCCTGGCGAATGGGATCCAATCGACTGCCCGATAATCGAGAAATAGCACTCCACAGGCTCCACTACCTGAAGGGTCGATTGAAGAAGAACGCGCAGTTGAAGGAGGCCTACTGTAACGCCATGAAACGCAATCTAGAGTTGGGATATATCGAACGCGCGATGGGAGAAATCGAGAAGGAGCAACCATTGTGGTACCTTCCGCACCACCCTGTCATACACCCCAAGAAACCTCAGAAGATCCGGGTTGTCTTCGATTGTGCTGCCAATTGTGCCGGGATTGCCCTAGATGACCATTTACCACAAGGCCCTGATCTGACGACTCCGCTGATTGAAGTGCTCTGTCGATTTTGTCAATGTTCAATTGCGGTAGCGGCTGATGTCGGGGAGATATTTATGCAAGTTGAAGTCCTCGAAGGGCAAAAAGACGCTCTACGGTTGTGTTGGTGTCCAGATGGAGACCTAGATGAACCTGCCCAGGAACATCGGATGACGGTGCACTAGTTTGGCGCGATGTCTTCTCCTTTCTGTGCAAATTTCGCGTTAAAAACAACCGTGAAAAAGTTTGCTCAGCGTTTCGAAACGCCGGTGGGTTGAACATAACTTTTACGTGGACGACTTCCTGGGATCCTTCGATAGCATCGAGGAAGCAGTTTGACACATTAGAGATCTATCCAAGCTACTACTCATGTGAGGGTTCAAATTGACCAAGTGAATGTCCAACAGTCGTCATGCAATCGATTACATCCCAGTTGATGAGATGTCACCAAGTCTACGTGACTTTCAGTGGAGTCCGTAACCAACAGACAGAGAACTTGGTGTGCAATGGGATTCGGAGAAAAATGAGTTTTTGTTCCAACTCCAGCTACCCGAAAAGACGGCGACTTGCAGCGGAATTCTGTCTTCGTTGGTCAGCCTTAACAATCCAATGGTGTTCGTCGCACCGTGGCTACTGCCGGGCCAGATTCTGCTGCAGGATCTGTGTAGAAAAAAGGTTACTTGGAATGAGACCCCATGCAAAGCAGATCACCAGACCTGGCAAGCTGGTGGCTGAGCCTGTCTAAGCTGAGCGATAAACGACTCCCTCGTCCCATACCAAAAATACGCCGAGGGGAGCAAAGTTAGTTACACGTTTTTGCGGACGCGTCGGAGGTGGGATACGAAACGGTGGCCTACAGTTGCTCGTCTCGGTCAGGTGGAAGGAAGCACAGCAGTATACTATTCGCTAAGGACAGGGTCGCTCTCCTAAAGGCAGTCTCAACACCCAGGCTAGAACTGGCCGCAGCAGTATTAGCCATGAAAATGGTGAAGATACTAAACAGACGTTTTTACTCAATCGGATGGACCGTAACTTACTGAACTGATTCCACTATAGTTCTTTACTATGTTATCAATATACGGACGCGCTTCAGCACATTTGTTGCCGATCGGTTAGCTGTCATTCACGAAGAAACGGAGGTGTGGCAACGGCGGCACATAATATCCTGTGACAATCCAGCCAACTACTGCTCCAGGGGTGTGCTGAACTTGAAAAAATGAAAACATGGTTACATGGACCGGCTTTTTTGACGGTTCAGCCCAGCAAATGGTCCGACACTCAGAGTTCCCCTGTCGCAACGGAGACTAAGAGGACCGTTACGTTAGTCGCTGCTTCAACCAACGTCTTACTGCAGAAACTGCATCGTTTTTCACGATGGACGCAGGTGCTGAGGGTGGTTGTCTGGTGGACCAGATTCAAACGAGAACTCGCCAATATGAGAGGACTCCAACCTGACGACACCGAATATTGGGCCCATTATTCCAACTGAATTGAAAACAGTAGAAGCTGATGTTCGCATGGTTCAATTACAAGCCTTTATGTCGGAGAATCAGAGGTTAGGCAAGAGGAGCCATGGCTCCGATCGACGTGCATTACGTTGCAGCTCTCTCCGACGACTCTGTTCAATATTGGTAGATGGTTTACTGAGAGTAGGCGGAAGATTGACAAACTCTTAGTTGGATTTTGATGCTAAACACCCCATCATCTTGCCCAACAACCACCACATCACGCACACACTCATCAAACACATTCACATGCATGAAGGTTATGCCGGGGAAAACCACGTACTCAGTACGATTCGCTGTCGGTTTTGAATATTGAAAGGGAGAGCTACGGTGAAGCGCATCGTGGGCAACTGTCTCTTTTGTCGTCGCCAGAATGATACATTCAGCAAACAACTGATGGCCTTGTTACCAAGTTCCCGAGTACGACCAGGTTGGTGGCCCAGGTGGAGTGGACAACTTCGGGTCACTCTGGGTGAAACGAAAGACTTCGAAGGAGAAACGGTCCGGATTGCTGATGACCTACCTACAGTCACGAGCTTTGCATATAGAGACCGTGCACAGCTTGTTGACCGACTCCTTTTTTATGGCCTGGCAGAGATTCGTGGGTAGACGAGGCAACCCATCAAATGTGTTCTCCGACAACGGGTCCAATTTCGTCGGTGCACAAAAGGAGTTGAGCGACTGGTTGATGCGGTTAGGCAAATTCGCCCTGCAAGACCGACTATTGCCATCTGGAACCCAATGGCACTTCAACCCACCTNGTCATGCCGGGGAAAATCATCTACTCAATACGATTCGCCGTCGGTTTTGGATAGTGAAAGGGAGAGCTACGGTGAAGCGCATCGTGGGCAATTGTCTCTTTTGTCGTCGGCAGAATGCCACATTCAGCAAACAATTGATGGCCTCGTTACCAAGTTCCCGAGTACGACCAGGTTGGTGGCCCTTCGCCGAAACTGGGGTAGATTACTTCGGACCACTCTGGGTGAAACGAAAGACGTCGTTGGAGAAACGGTACGGATGCCTGATGACCTGCCTGCAGTCACGAGCTTTGCATATAGAGACCGTGCACAGCATGTCGACCGACTCCTTTCTTATGGCCTGGCAGAGATTCGTTGGTAGACGAGGTAATCCATCGAATGTATTCTCCGACAACGGGTCCAATTTCGTCGGTGCACAAAAGGAGTTGAGCGACTGGTTGATGCGGTTAGGCAAATTCGCCCTGCAAGACCGACTATTGCCATCTGGAACCCAATGGCACTTCAACCCACCTCACAGCAGTCACCGCAGAGGAGTTTGGGAACGGCTTATACGGTCGGTGCGAAAAATATTGACGGCGTTATGTGAACAACAGGCGCCGGATGATGAAACTTTGAGTACATTTCTGGTAGAGGCCGAAAGGATACTCAACAACCGACCACTTGTACCCGTCACCAGCGATGACCTGCAAGGACTGGCGTTAACCTTCTTTTGCTGAGATCTATGGCTTGGATATGCCAAAAACCATTACAAGGCGGCTATACCTCGGGTTGGAAGAATGCAAACTACCTGGCAGGGGTGTTTTGGAAGCGTTGGACAAGAGAGTACCTACCAACCCTTCAAGCTCGACAGAAGTGTTTGCATAGAGAACGGTCGTTAAAAGTTGGAGACGTTGTCCTTATGGCCAACAAAAAGCTACAACGTGACAACTGGCCACTGGGTGTAGTCATAGAAAGCCACGCGGACCCAGACGGACTAGTAAGAACAGTTAAATTAAATACATCGGCCGGTGAACAGGTGCGCGATATTCGATCAGTGTGTTTAGTGAATGGGGATGACCACCACACAGTTACTTGCTGAAGTTGCGGAGACCCGCCGTGTATTATATTGACTTAACTGCCCTCTTGTACCAAATGTGCCCCAGTGATATTCACCCCACCTATACGAACACGTGTTTTCACGTCCTTATCATACGTCCTCTCAATTTCATTTCGTGATTGAGTGTCCTTTCATCAGATTAATACACAATTTATGACATGAACCTCGAAGGCGTGACCCATGTCCTCACAACATTCATCCATTCACATACACATTATGTGGGGTCTTGTGTTCGCTGAGCTAGGCGTTTGGATCGCAAACGTTTCATCAACAGCCGAGTTGATATCGTCAGTGCAACGCACAAACCATCAACCTGAGCTACAAACCACATCCATATTTAAATCTGTTGAAAACATTCACACCATCATGTGCATACTGAAAAGGATTTCATTTGTAAACTTGGACATTAATTACATGGTCCACCTTTCCCCTCCTGGTTTAAACATCGAGACTTTATTTGTAATCATATTCATTCAACCCACTGTTATAAATTTATCGTGCGACTGGCTGCAAGCTTGCTGATGCGGAGGGCAGATCTCGACGAAGAAACGTGCAAGTCATTAGAGGTCAAGATCGACGAGTGCGGCGAAGGTTGAACATTTCGTAGGTAAAAGCACTGACAGCAGGGACTAGGTAGGTAGATAGGTAGACAAGAATCAATGTCCTGCGCCAACCGTTTGACTCAGACGAGCGCGGGAAGTATTTTAGTGGCCGGTGTATTTCATGTTGACTTATTGATAACCCTTCCAAACCCATGATGATTTATAGTGACAACTCTATCTGCGTGTTGCTTCTGTATTGACATTTCTCAATCACAAATACCATACATTATTCTTTATCTCAAATGGGAATTGGTCGTGTATATAGCAAACGAAGCGTGAACTGAAAATCTCGGAAGCACTCGACAGTTGTTTCGATCTGGTTGGGTCTCATCAGCAGTGTGAATCCATCGACCCGATTGGGGATCATTTGTTATATACACGACGAATTCCATTTGAAATTTAACCAAATCCTCCATTACTCACATGAAATACTTTCATCTGTTAATTCGATGCTCGGCACATTTGAATTTGGCGTGGTCACAGAAAGTGAGCGACTGTTTGGCTGTATCTAGACCTCATATTTGGCTCGCTTGCTTGAGTGCTTTTAGCGGCATATTTGAGGTTCACTTTATTATACGTTTTGTAATGATTTCTCTAATTCAGTACCGTATAACATTACGGATGAATTGTGTTTTATTTCAGGATTCGTATCGGTTTTGACTACGCGTCACTCAAGAGCGAATTGGTTGACGTACAAGCGCTGCGTTCAATTTTCTTCAGCAACAGGGTAGTCAACTCATTAAATTAGTTACTACAGGTGCTGGTGAACCTAGGGAGCGTACATGCTTTCAAGAATGAGCTCGATAAGCGCTGGCTGAACTTATTTCCCAAAGTAGACGCATAGGTTAAGGTCTGGAATAAGGTGTAGTGAGACGTCGAGGAACGCTGGTGGTTGATCAAACACAAACTGCTTAACCTCTAGTATCTTTTCGTTCCATTAAGATATCGGAGGCACAAGGGAAAACCGTGATGGTGGCGAGCCGCAGTAGCCAGGGCCATTAGTTCCCGAAACCGAAGCTGGCGAGCCTACCAACTAGCTGGCATTCACCGGTTGTGGGTTCAAATCACCGCTCACAGAAATGTAGCGGCCAACATAGTGAGAGAGAAAAAGAGGTTATTTGAAATGAAACTGGCCCAGAAAGTAAAGCTGGAGCCAAAGAGGTACTGCGAGTATATCCAGTCGAAGGGCTTTACCAAAGAAGAGATGGGTCCACTGGTACTTGAGGGAGATAGGGTTATAACTGAAAACCAGAGTAAAGCTGATGCATTCTGCGCCTACTTTAGCAGCAAGCAAAGGCTATAGACTGGTGAGTCAAGTGCTCCCCAACCCTCGGCAACAGATGTAGTGGAGGAACTAAGGGTCACACTCGAAGAAGCATCTGTGGTACTGGGCGGCCTTAAGGTATCAAAGGATTCGGGACCAGACGGAATTAGCCCATCGATCATCAAGCCGATTGCTGATATAATCGCTGGGCCAATTTGCAGCCTTTTTGGAGCATCACTAGCTGAAGGGAACTTACCGTCCGACTGGAGAACAGATTCGGTAGTAGTCATACACAAGGGCCGTAAAATGACAGATGTAAAGAACCATCG